CTGGGAAACTGAAATGGTGCAGACATTCTGGAAAACAATGTAGCAGTACTTCAAACGATGAAGCACAGTCGCCACATTACCTGACAATTTCATAGGAAAAGGTCCAGTAAAAACTAGCACACAAAGGTTCATTGGGGCACTGTTTGCAATAGTCAAAAAGTGGCAACAATGCAAATGTCTGCCGACTGGTGAATGGAAAAAGACTTATATGCACATATGTAAAACATTGTGCAGTTACTCATGCAATAAACCACATCCAGAGCATTAGCACTGGTACAGTTCTGAGCCTCATTTCCTATAGGTTACACACAGAGAGCCAGGCAACATTGCACAGGTAGTGGGTCACTCTGAAGGAGAAAAATCATGTGACCTGGAAGGGAGGAACAGAAGAGAAAAAGTTTCCCAACTTCATCTTGTTCCTACTGTTCAACCTCCTGCTGGCATGGGTCACCCAACAAACCAAACCACAAGTGAGACAGTCAGAAAGTACTTTGTTGTCACTCAGAAAGTAGAACCTCGTGGGGCCTAGAGCAAGGTGGAGAGGGATGGAAAGTAAATCTGATGGAACAAATGGGTCACCAAGGGATGGATGTGGAGGAACAAGTAACAAAATAATCCAAAACAAAGACAAGAAAGAAAGGAAATGGCAACAGAGAATTGGCTGGGCAAGGAGACAGTGTTCAGTGGGATTAGTATATTTAAACCAAAATGTCTAAGAGCTTTCAATAAAAGCAGTGACTATCTGATTGGATGCAAGACCTACTAAAGAGCCCTAAGCATATTTCATTTACAAAAAAACACGTCCAAGACACAAAGATACAAAACTATTGATAGTGAAAAGTATTGACAAAGGTGTACAATAAAACATCAGCCAAACAATATTCACAGGAGCCAAAGACTCAAAGGCAGAAAATGAGAAGAGATGAAAGATACCTCAAAATGTTAAATGCTTCAGTTTGTTAAAGAATCCCAGTTGTTCTAAATTTATAAAATAGTACACTAAAATTTAGCCCTAGAATATAGCCTTAAGCTCTATAAAGCAAAAACAGAACACATAGAGCAAAAACAAATTAAAGAATTCACAATCCTAAAGTTTAGAGTTAATATGTAAAACCAACTATGTGAATAAAGATACACAGAAATCAGTTGGTTTTCTCATTACAATGAATGATAGAAAATAAAATTTAAAAAATTATCCAAAACAGCATACAGATATCAAGTATCTAAGAATATGCTTAACAATAAATATGCAAGATACCTACGTAGAGAAGCATAAAGCAATCATTACCAAAAATTAAAGACTCAAGTAAATAGAAGGAAATGACAATTATTTGTATTGAGACTTTAACTAAAAAAACATTATTTCTCCCTAACCTGATTTATAATTCAGCCCAATAAAAAGCTCACTAAGTCTTTGTGAAAGTACAGAAGCTAACTTTTAGATAATCTAGAAGAACAGGATGAAAAGCTTTCCTTTACTCTATATTAACACTGGTTATAAATCATAGCAATTAAAGCAATGTGATATTGGCATAAATATTGATAAATAAATCAACATAATAGAAAAGACAGCTCAGAACAGACCTATGTATAGACAGATAATTGAATTTGATAGTCATTTACACATTGTAAGGATAGTATTTTTAGTGGATGAGACATTATCTGTTTATACTGAAGAAATAAAGTAATCTGTATATTTCACAACTTAATAAAAAAATTGAGTTCAGGTGGATCACACTTAAATAGCAAAGGCAAAAATGTAAGTTTTTGCCTTTACTAATGTAAGAGGAAATTTCGTTATGATATTTAAAATATAATCATGATAAAAATAGATAAATTTGGCTATATTTTATCTGTAAACTCATTATCAGGAGATAGCATTTATAGTAAGGCCCAGAATGGGAGAAGATACTTAGAAGACATAACCAACAAAGTGTTGGTAACTAGAATATAAAAACTTATAAATGAATTCTAAAAATATAAATAATTATAAAAATGGGCAAAAGATTTGAATTGCTACTTCTAAAAAGAGGCTATCCAAATAACAAACAAACCCAAGAAAAAGTACACAATTTCAGTTACGAAAAAAGTCAGATTCCACAGTGAGATTCTGCTATGCAATCACCAGAATACCTGTCTTGAAAATGCTAATGATTTGCTAAGTGTCAAGAATGTAAAAACCTGAGAATGTTACGAATTTCTGGTGGTGATGCGTTGGTAAATCAATCTGGGAAACTTGCAGTATGTACTAAAGCAGAACTTACATACATCATGACCCTACACTGCCACTCCTACATGGGTACCTTCCAGAAATGCACCAAGATAAGTGTACAAAATTTGTTGTGTTCAAGGATACTTACATAGCCTATGACTATACAGAAGGATTTAATTACTATAAAAACCTGATTTGGAGGAGCACTTGTAGAGCTGATCATAACCATTTCATGACCTGACCTTGGTGTTTCTTCCTTTTTAGTTTGTTTTTGGTCTGTGAACCTTTTCATATGTGTGTTAAGTTTTCCTATACAGAGGGTTAAGAAATTAGATTTGGTGGGGAAGAAGGAGGTGGGGGGGGGAAGAGAGAGAAAGACAGAAAGAAAGAGAGAGAGAGAGACAGACAGAGAGACAGAGAGAGAAAGAAATTTTACAGGCTTAAGTCAAAAGGGAACTCATTCACCCAGGGGCATGGTACTGCTCTTTGGTACAACATATCTGCTTCATGTTCCAGACATCTCAGTCAGTTAGGGACAGGGAAATCTGAAATAATCTCTCAGTAATTGCCTGTGTGGGTCTGCACTGTCTTTTATTTAGAATCATTTCTTATTAGCCTCTTGGACACAAAAACTTGTGGGTTTGCTTCAAAAAACCTGAGTGACATAATTTTAATAACTCTTGATAGTTTCTCAAGGTACTAGTAGTATTAAATTCAATATTTAATGCCTACAGGACGACTAGACTCTCATTCTCAGATACCTGATCATTTGGTGTTTTTGTCTCTCTGTCACAACAGACATTATAATTTCTACCCATGGAGGTTAGCGGAGAAGTTTAAAGTCTGCAAATGGATTCTCTCTGGATTGTCACTAAAAATGAGAATGCCTGGAGAGGGGAAACACAACTGGTTTCTCTTTCCAATCAGTGCATATTCTTCCTGGAGCTTAAGAGATGATGTCAAGTGTAGCAGGATTCACAATTAGGACATTGTATTTCCGGTGATTCCAAAGATATAGAGTATCCATGTATTCTTTTCTCCAACAAGAAAAGGAAAGCCTTTCCAGGTTATCTGTGTGTGGGGGGTTTAGGAGAGAAAGTTGTTGGGTGTGGGAAGGAACCTACTTTAGCCATTAACTCTGCTGTTAGAATGCTCAAACCCTATCATTCTTACGAGAAATGTCTGCAAGAGTTTTGGATAAATCAAGCTAATGATGACTAAAGTTTATTCTTTCCTTATTTCTTTTAGTCCTCTTTTTCTCTTTTGGTACCAGGAAACACACGGAGGGCTTTGTCCTTGCGAGGCAGGCGCTGTGGCGCTAAGTCCCTGGCCTTCTTTACTTACTTCAAGTCATTTGCAAACACATTCCTCATTTTGATTTTGCTGGAATGACCTCAGTACACATGTCTGCTTTTATAGTAAACTCTTTCACATAGAATTCAGATCGTAATTTTCCTCGCATGTACCCTCAATAGATGTTAGCTATCATCATGATAAACAGTATTCACTTTCTCGAGGGACCAACCGTTTTGTGCTGGCTTGGCCACTGCATTGCAAAAAGCACCTTGGAGAGCACAACTTCCATGTGACTCAGGTAACTCCCACTCTCTCCTGGACCTTAATTTTAACATTAGGAAAATGAAGGGTTGGATGCCTTGAATTGTCTGACAGAATGGTTTGGTTGGTCCCTTCAAGGAGTATCCCAAGAGTCCTCCAAGAAATCAGCGCCCTCTGGGGGGCACCAGCGGTTGGTATGGTGCCCTAGTCCGGATGATGCGCGGGCTGGCGAGCGGGTTGAAAGCTTTTTCAGGAATCCGTGTTTACCTTTCCCGGGGCAGAGGTTAACAAAACCTGATGAAACAAATACCAGGGGCAGATGTTACCTAATTTGGTCAAAGAACAAGGAGTGCGTGAAACATGTGGAAATCCTCAGCTGTGTTTGGGGTGACAGGAACACTTCCTGGAAGAGCAAGCATCTGCCACAGTCGGGGCAGAGTGGCGGCGTCTTGAAGGATGAGAACTGAGAACTACTGAGTCCCAAGCCTGGGCTTGGGGTAGGAGGCTTCCAGGCTTGAATCTGATGGCACTAGGGATAGCCTGTGTTGGGCCAGGTACTCCAAGGCTGTGGGCCTCCATTTCCTTCCGTGTAAAATGAGGTAAACCTCTAATTTACGGCGCTGTTGGCAGGGTCGAACACGACAAAGCAGAGTGGGGAGTCATTAACTGGAAGTTGCTCTCATTGCAAGAACGTTAACAGCTCTAATTCAGACACTCTCGAGTTTACTCATGCTTTGCCTTTGACAAGTCGCACGATCCCAGTACTTCTCTACAGTGCCGGCCCGCGGCTCCCGCCTCGCCCCCCACCCGTCTCTGGCCGCGGGGCCCGGGGCAGCCTAGATCCCGCTCCCCAGCCCGGGCCTGAGGGCCGTCATGGCGCCAGGCGACAGCTGAGGCGCTCCCGGCACCCCAGCAAGAAGAACGCGCGCGGGGCAAGGGTGGGCGCTGCCACCGCGCTGTCCACGGCGGCTGACCCCGAGGGAACCCAGCGGGAGCCCAGCTCGGCTCAGTCCCGTCTCTGGCGGCACCGGGACCCCGGATCAGCGCGGCTCGGACGCCCACCTTGGGCGCGGGCCGCAGGGACCCACGCCAGCGCCGCGAGCGCCCCGGGCTGCACGCGCTCCCCGCCCCCTCCGCGCTGCGCCGCGCCGCGCCGCGCCCGCGCGCCAGCGCCCCCCCGCCCCTCCCCCGCCCCTCCCCGCGTCGCTCCCCCGCCCTCCTCGGCCGCCCCTCCCCCGTCCCTCGCCTCTCACGCTGCTCGGCCGAGAGACCGAGCCGCGGGCCCGGAGCGCGAGCGGCGACGCCACCGCACCTGCAGCGCGGCGCTGGGGTTGCCGCGCCGGCACCTCGCTTCCAGTCCTCCGGTCTCCTTCTCCCCTCTCGCCCGGCTGTCCATGACGCCCGAGACCCTCGTCGAGCGACCATGACCACTTCCCTGCAAGATGGGCAGAGCGCCGCGGGCCGGGCAGCTGCCCGGGACCCGCCGCCCGCCGCTCAGGTGCACGGCGCTGCCCCGCGGAAGGGCGACGCCCACGGCCCCGCGACGGCCCGGGCCCGGGTCCCGGCCCCGACCCCCGGGCTGCCCGCGCGGACGCTGCTCTCCGCTCCGGACGGGCTCCGTGGCGCGGCCGCGCACAGGTAGGCACCGCGCGGCGCGGGAGCGTCCCGCCGGCTCTGAGGCCGGCCGGGTGAGGGGGCGGGCCCAGGGGTGAGCCGGGCGTCCCGGGCCGGGCCAAGTTTGTGAAAGTCTCGAAGACAATTCCCTTTGAGCTGGCTCCCACCGCGGCAGCGGGACATTGCGATCTCGCATCGCCTCTTTATAAATAGCATCACCATTGCATTGAGAGCTCAGCCTGTGTCGCCTCTGTCTATGGGTGTGAACTGGGAGGCCAAACTCCAGGTTGACCACAATCTGCTGCTGCTTATTGGCCCTGCATTGTTAGAAAAATAAATAATCGTTTTTGTTTGATATATTTAAAAAATCGAAGCGTATAGAGTTCACCACCCACATACTCTCAGAGCGACCCTGGAGACACAGAGCATGGTTTGACATTTGAACAGTCTTTGGTGTTCAGCAGGAAAGAATAGAGGCTTTAAAAGGTTTCCCAATCTCTACAGCATTCAATACCACGTGCCTTTAGAGTTGCACATACTTTAGGAAAGGAAAAAAAGGACTACACCAGTACAAAGTCTATGTCCTTTATATTCAGACGTTTAAATACTACTTTTTTTCTTCAGATTTTCTGAGTGCTCTGACGTTTGTGAAGTTAAAAGTACTCTCCGACCGACAAGAGTACATTTATACTGGCAAGTTCTATTAACTTACCTCCTTAAAAACACTGCTTTGCTGTTTAGTATCTATAAAAGCACTTGAAAAACCAGCAGACCGTGTATAGGCAACGTTGTGAATGAAATTTGAAGTGAGATGAACCACAGCTCTAATGAACAAACCATAACTCCCAAAAGTGATTAGTAAAATATAGGGATGAATTCATGTAACTCTTAAGACTTTGTCAATTTAATGGATGCATAACAATACCTAAATGCTCAGGATAATTTTTACAGTAATATTTGTAATAGTTCATATTGCTGCTTCAGGAAAATTATCAAGAGTTCAGAAAATGGAGTATCCACTTCTGCTGAATTTTTTAAAGGTTAAAAAAAAGAAGAAATAAAGATAGCACTATAGACTTTCCCATATCAATTAATGTATTTTATTTTGATCCACAGAAAGTACAACACAGGCCTTTCCTTTACACTTGTTATATTAGCATTGTTGCTGAGTGGTGTGTGTTGGCCTTAACAACGCTTCTTAATCCTGACAGCAATTATATTTTACATGCTGTTTTATGTAAATTACATCCTATGTTCCCTTGGTGTAGGAGAAAAAAGAAAGATCTTGATGTTCTGGAAATGCCGTCTATTCCAAATCCTTTTCCTGAGCTATGCTGTTCTCCATGTACATCTGTGTTGTCCACAGGGCTGTTTCCCAAAGCAAATTCAAAGAAAAAACAGGTATGCATTCTAAGCTTTTTAATTCAAATGTCTAAGTAGTTATGATTTTCAGTAGCTTACAATATTTGCCAAAAGATTAGTATGGCCTATTTAAAATAACTATTGAGTGACATAGACCTTTGGGATTGCTTTCTTTTTAGGGCCTCAGTTTTCTCAGCTCTATAATGGGAATATTCAAAGTTACTTCTTAGGGTTTTCCAATGAGTTAAAAGAACAGATGGGTTAAAAGAGAGAACAGCAAACTACAATGCCTAGAAACTGTTGCCACGAGCTGGATAGGTAAGAGAGTTATATGTGATCCTAGAGTCTCACTTGTAAATCAGGAATTGGAAGTGGGTAGGGCAGTGGGAGTGGGGTAAGAAGGGGACTGTCTGGTTTCTTTAGTATTTTCTCTCAGATTCATGCTTCCTCCAAGTCAGCTTCATTTGCAAAAGGAAAGGAATGCAGTGAATTTGATAAAAAGTAATTGGAGTTTAGGGTCAAAGTACCTACTTAATTTGGGTAACTTCTACAGTTTGGCTGCTCTAGCTGTAGATGGTATGACTTGTAAGTGGTGATTAGAAGACAGACTTTATTTTTATTTTTTATTTCTTTTCAGGTTTCTAGTTTGAGACTGATTTATGCAAATTAGATTATAATAACCAAGTAACTAAGAAGGGACTCATACACACACATTTCAGGAAAAAAATCAGTGTATCATAGAATGATTAATCTCTTGTCATATAATTCCTTCCAGTTTTGAGCACAGAAACAGACAATATTCACTTGGCAACATGTATTTGTTCTTACAAGGGGAGAAGCAAAATTAAGCAGCCAGATATTCCTAGTGAGGACAAGGTTAATCATCAGAGAGAGAGGGGAGAAGACAATTGATTATTTTTTCCATCTGTTGTGCTCTTCCCTTCTTCCATACTTTTATTATCTCTGATGTGTATTGGAGATAATAAGGATGAAGAAAAATACCCTAGGAAGCAGATGAATTCTTGGCAACAATAGAAACAGCAAAAAATGTGTTTTGATGGAACCTGGTATATACTTTAAGGAGTATAGGAGTTTGAATTATAGTTGGACTATAATTTTCATTGGGAAGATAGAAAGGATTCTTGAATGCTTTATTATCAAAATGAGATTTGAAGTCAGATCCCAAGTTATAAACAACTTTACTGAAGCACGCATTCCCTTTGATAGTCTGTGTTTTAGGTGAGCATATAAGATGGAAGTAGGGATAGATCTGACTCTGTGTTATATGGGGGGAAAAGTTGATTCTGGATTGCCGTCATTGAATGGAAAAAAGGAAATGCCTGATGGTGACAGAATAGATATCTGTGGAAACTGAATAGGTAATTCTCCTAATTATGCAGGGCCTACTGTGTTGCTTATACTATCCTGCACCACCTAAAGCACCATCTAAACAAAACTGACACCTGAAAGGTATTTACCTAAGTGGGGTTTGATTTGGGATAGGAGAGGGGAATGGTTGAACAGTGGAGGGGAATAGAAATAAGTCGGTACTGACTGTCATTTTAATTTTGTGGATGAAAATAGAATTCCAAGCCTAAGAAGAGATGTGTTGATTGGCAAATTTTGGTACATTAACACAGTAGAAACAGACTGAGATTGTGGAAGGGTGATAGGGTAAGTATCAGGGTCAAGATAGTAATATGCTTGAAGAGTCTCAGCATGCAGAGTCATCAGATGAGAGTAGGACATTACAGGAAATAAAAGCTTTCTTTTTTTTCAGATCAGAGTTTTTTTCAGGGCAGAAAATGATGATACGTTATTATTGGCCCAGTAGGACTCTGATTCAGCCTACGTGCTGTGTCCACCCTTACAAGGCAGTCCTGGTGTGCCTTCTAAGGGACTTAAGCAGTGCTCCCACCTTACCAGAGTCCTCTTCACCAGTCTCTTTTTAGAACCAAGGGTTAGGAAGCGTAGAAGGGAAGGATATCTCAGTGTTGTGAAGGAGCAAGGTCCATTTTACTTTCTTTTCTGTTTCCTTTTTCCCCTGTGTAGATTTTGCATTTAAAACTGATCCTTATGCTTTTTATTCCTTTCTACAAGCTCAGTGCTTTGGAACGAGTGAGGGTGTGAGAATAAATGACTCTGTCAGTAATTTCCCCAAGCTCCGTATCTTTGTGACACACATATCTTTGCAAGATAGTATTTCTGACCCAATTACCTCTTTTTCAGTTGAGATGATGTAAATGATTGTATGTGATTGCACTATACCTTATTCCAATGAATATTGTTATGATTGAAAACTGTAGGAGATATCTCTTTTCTTTTTATTCTCTTTCATTTGTTTTATTTAACCATTCCAGTCATTTTAGAATTTTTTTCTTTCCATAGAAAAAATGAACAATTGTTATTTACAAGTAAACGACTATTTGAGAGACTGTAGACTGAAAATAATAAATTTCATTTGCCTTTCAAAATTATAGTCCAAAACTATTTTATAGGCCATTTTAAAAAATAATTTGAGATCCTTACATAATACCTAAGTGGCAAGAGACTTTGATGCCACAAATAAGTTATGCTTTATCTTTTTTTGCAAATGAAATAGTCCAAAGTATATAACACTATTGGCTTTCAGTATTATTTTTAAAGGGAGGGCTAGAATGAAGTTCTGTATTATTCATCCTCTTTTGTTACAGTACTGATTACATATAATCCTAAGCCTATTTTTTATGTTTTCCAATAATGCAGATTTAAAATGTATCTTTCTTTGTGTGCATGGGTCAGAAAATGACATACATATATTAAAAATGGCTTGCATTATGGATTTCATCTCTTTTACTTTCTAAATTCTGATTGAGAAGTGCTCGAAAATCATCCTTTAATAATAAACTTTCTAACAGTTTAGGTCTAAAATGTCTCCTAGAAATCTCCTCTTCAGAGGTGGGGCCAGATCAGAGGGACTGGGTCCCTGGGACCATGAACTGAAAGAGTATATTTTGGTCTCTGTTTCCTTTCTTCTCTCTGTGCTTCTGGCTGCCCTAGGCTAGGGTGAGCAGCTTCCTTTTGCCATGCCTTTCCACCATATCATTTCTACTTTGGAGCCAGCAGCCATGGGCAGAATCTCCCAAAACCCTGAGCTAGAATAAACCTCTCTTCCTTTAAATTGCAAGTATTTTGTTTCAGCAATGAGCAAATGACTAATGCAAATTCAAATATTTTCCTTTGCTAAATTTTATAGTTGGACACAGCTTATGAAGGAATTCTAATTAATTGCTTCTCAGGTCTCTATTGTACAACTAATTGAGAATAAAAGCTCGGAGCATCTTAAAGATTAACATGTTCATGATGGGGCCATAATTCGTATGTCTTATAGCTGGGCTGCTCTGAACTACTGAAGGAACATGTTAAACCCTGTTAAAAACTATGCCATGGAATTTTTAAATTGGGAATGATATTTTTCTAGTCTAATTCCTTTTATTTAGTGGTACGTACATTAAGTCTTAGAAATGCCATGTAGCTAAAAGTGGCATAACCAGGATCTGAAATCTGAATTTCTTAAGTATTCAGTAGTAGAAATATGTAACTTCTGAAGCAGCAAGAGCTGTCAATGTAGTGTAAGTATTAAATGTATATCAGTGTTGTTAGGTACAGCTCTACCCATTATGCAAGAAAATCAGGAGTGACAAATGCTATTTGTAAATATTCTTCTAAGAATTTGGAATTTCTCTTAATTTTTCCCCCTGAATATAGCTGTATAGCCTTTTATTTTTTCCTCCATGTCAATATCCATAAAACTTATATGAAAAAAATCTATAATTGGTTATATGAAGTAATATTTATTAGTATCATTCATAACCAGCTTTTTATACATAGTCTACGGTCCATTGGTTATTATCTTACAAGAACAAAGAAATAGCAAGTATGTCTGTTATCTACATTTTAAGATTTAAAAATGAATGTGTAAAAATTGGAAGTGATTTATTCATGTTCTCAAAATTCAGATGAAGGGAAATCAAAGGAATACTATGTTTGTCTATGCTTTGCTTCACAACACTATTTCTTGTCTATTCTATAGCGATGTAGCCTTCTTTGTGATCTTGTAGGTCTCAGAAAAATAAAGAATGTCTTTCAAATAATTAAGAAATTAGTCTTCCATGTGCTCTGCCTTTGATTTCTGCTTCCTCTAGTGTGCCAGGGTCTTTCAAAAGATAAATATATCTCTGTTCACAAAGGTCTCTTATGTCATTCCTTTGTGATACCAGTACTTAACCCAGTTTGTATGTGCAGAAGCTGTATGTGTGGTCCAAAAGGAATCTGGTTGACTGCCACATTGACTGAACTCTCATATATTCATATGCATTAAAGTAGAAAGAAAGACAGTTTGTTCCTACTCTCAATTTTCCAGACTTGGCAGTTATCAGGATTTTTACCACATTTATTTCATTTATTCCTATTTCAAATTTATATTTGTTATTGAAGTACGTTAGTTAAATCCTGAATATCTCACTGGAAGCCTATCTAGTTTTACATGCATCTCAGAAGACTGAGATTTTAAAAATATACCGCAAATACCATTATTCCCTAACAAGAATAACAGTAATTCCTTGGTGTCATTTAAAACCATCCATAATCAAATTTTCTCAGTTGGAATGGCACATGAAATCCTCAAATTATACAATGTTATGTTTCAAAGTCTTCGAATTAGCTTGTTGGAACTTTGAATTCATTTTCAGCTGGAAAGGACATCATAAATTGCATTTAAGCCCTCCAAGCTATTTTACAAAAATCTCATTTAATGTGAAATGAAATGCAAATATATATGCAGAAAGAACAGTAGAAACAATACTTGTTCTTATTAGAATTCCAAACAAATTCATCTTTCTAACAATAGTTTTCTAGTTTTGAATGCTGTTATTTGATGAGTATCTTTTTATTTTTTTTTTTGGAGAAAAATTTTAAAATGTTCAGATTTTTGTAGATTTTTAAAATGGGCTTTAGGGCAGTGCTTTTCAAAATGTGGTCACTAAACCACCGTCAGCAGA